ACAGGTGCTGAGCTGAGCTTTTATTTTTTTAATATACATATCTACAAATGATATGTAATGCTTTATAGTTTAAAAACTTTACTTAGATGGCATCACATCATGTATATCAATCTATAAATTGACTTTCTGTTCTATATTGTGCCTTTAAAAAGTAATAAACAGATCTTATTCATATTTTAATCCCTACATAGTATTCCAGTTTACTATTCTCCTTCTGATGGGCATACATGTTATTTCCAATTATTTTCATGTATCCTTGGTCACACGTGTGAGTGACCCTGGAATACCTACTGACAAGCGGGAAAGCTTGGTCAGAGCTTCTACTTTACCAGAAACTGGCAAATTCTTAATTTGGGATATATGGACCCACACCTATGGTTATTGCAGGAAGTTACATATCACCTGTAGTATGAAGTATTTGGAGTCTATGGGTTTCAGCGGATACTCCAAGAGGTCTTTGGTGTACTCCCCCAGACCTCTCCCTCCTTCCCCAATTAAGAACCACTGCCATAGAAAAGTTAATTGAAAAGTATATCATATTATAATGTCTCAAGATTGATAATTCAATTGAGTTGTGCGTTGGATTTTGAACTTAAAGGACTAGAATAGACACATGATTTTATCAAAGTTAGGGTGGGAACCAGCATGAAGTTTAAAGGTAGCAGTGGGTAGAAGATAGGGAATCGCTCCAGCTACTCTCCTTCATTTTATATTCCTTGATTTTTACACTGCAGGAATATCAGCATGGTTGTTAGCTTAGGGAACTGGTGAGGAACAGGCAGTGAGGGTGGTGGTGGTAAGAACCCATGAGATAATAAGTTGGGGAAATGCTCCCTATTTTTTCTTTTTTTTTTTCTCAGCCAGGGCTGGGTTTGAACCCACTACCTCCAGTATACGGGGCCAGCGCCCTACCCCTTTGAGCCACAGGCGCTGCCCTCCCTATTTTTCTTCAGGAGATGGTGCTCATGTGGTCAAGTGGATCTCTGCCGTGCACAGGGTGTTAAGCGCATCTCGTAACACTGAAAGCTTATAACATCAATGTGTCTTTTTCCAGTGCCACCGCTGGTCAAAGGACCAGTTAACACCCGCTAACTCAACATGAAGTTTAGTCTGTGCCAGGCACTGGGCTAAATACTTTGCAGATATTTCTTCTTTACTTTTCCAAACAATCCCTTTTCTTTTTCTTTTCCTTTTTTCCTTTAGACATAATGTGGTACAAATAACTCCTTTCTGTAAAGAAATTGGGGCATGTGACTGGAGCACATGGAAGATACATGCAGCCTTTGATTTTCTCTGAATCTTTTTAAACATGCCCGCCTGCAAAGGGATCAGAAAATTTTGAATGGTCCAAAATATATGAATAAAACACTCTCAGTTTCTTGGTACAATCTACTAGTTGTCACAGAGAATAAAACTATTGCTAAAAGTTATTTTCGGTTGCAGGCACTGTTATGTTGTTTCCTCATCATGTGCCATTTTCATATTCTAGTTGATGATCAAGAAAGCCAATTGCTTTCACAGGTGAAAACCATCTATGAGATGGGAAAGGCCAAAACTAAAATTCTTGTATTTTGTTTATAAGGACAAACAAAAGTCAGAACACCTTTCCTTAGAGACTCACATGCCTCTACCTTGTAAGGCAGTTTTGGATGACTAACTGGGGAACCAGTCTTCCACACAATGTTCCCTTATGTGGATGGCATTGTTTACCTGCCAGGGACAACTGTCTGAATAACTGTTCTGCCTTACTTCTGTATCTAATAATTAAAAAAAAAAAGTCATGACTAGTTTATAGTGGTTCATTTAGCTTTATAATCTTCAGAAATTTACACTGCCATTTATTTTTTTTT